AAAAAATTTTTTAGGGATGAAACTCATACCTCATTAAAAGATTAAGGTATGTTGTAAAAGGTTAAATAAAATCTATAGAACCTTTATTCATGAAAATAGAATAGCTTCATGACTTTGGAGTAGGAAAAGCTTTCTTATCTTTGATAGAAAAAGCAGAGATCACAATAGAAAAGACTACCTGGAACTCAGGTTGCTTAGTGGTAAATTGGGCTGTCAACTTAAAGGCACGTGGTTGAAATCTACTAACTCCTCCACAGGAGAAAGATGGCCAATGTCTTCCAATGATATTTACAGCCTCTGAAAACCCACTGGAGGGTCAGCTGTGAAGCAATTCCAACCTGATGGCACAGAATATATTAATATAAAGGAGTTCTGGTGGCCTAGTAAGGAGTGTTACTGCCAACCCAAAGCTAAGTGGTTCAAATCTACCATCTGCTCTGTGGGAGAAAAATAGGCAGTCTCCTTCCATGCAATTTACAGTCCCTGAAAACTCACTGCAAAGTCAGTTATGAGTCATTTTCTGCTCCACTGCAGTGAGCTGGGTTGATGTTAATATAAATTTTTTGTTGTTGTTGTTGTTTAATGCCATCGAGTCGTAGATGACTCATAGCGACCCTATGAACAAACAGCCTGAGCACTGTAGGTACATAGAGTTTCCGGAGGCAAGCCATTTCGGAAGTGGATGCTGCTCCTGCTTCCAGGCTTGATTTAGTCGGGAAGCTCCAGCCAACACTGTCCACCATAGGTGCCCATTACTACGATTGGCACATCACTGTCACAGCCTTCAATAGCATTATAATAATACAGAACTTCAAATTAACATGGGACTCTATTTTAACTATTGGCATATGCCTCAAAGCTCATGCATGGAGAATTTCCTATTGGCCAAGAGTGAGAGCTCAGGCACTTTGACAGGAATAATGGAATAATGTGAGAATGCCTCTAAGCAGGCACACACGCACACACACACACACACACACCCACACACACACACACACCCACACACTAATCCACCAACTGTGTTCCAATCCCTGTATTAAGATGCTGTAGGCAGGACCCTCATTGCCAAAGGCCTGTATCCTTGTCTCAATATAACTTCTTTATAATGGGTGACAGAGGATAAGTAACCTTAGTCTCACTCCCAAGTCAATCCCCAACGTTGACAATTTCTCTCTGCATAGTCCCAAAACTAGGTAAAAGTTTATTTCTAATAACCGCTTTGTATTTGAAAATAAATTTAGAAAGAACTAACCTCTAAATATAGGAATCTCTCGTGGCCTAGTGGTAATTTGTGGTAAAGAGGGTCAGTTCTGACTCTACAGTCCACAACAACCACCACCTCTTATTATATTAATGTCTAGGTCCTTTTAAAAAATAATCTAAATTTCAGTAGGATAGATTTAAGTGACTAGATCATTGTTAAACAGATTCTTTTTCTACCAAAGCAGACAAGCAGCAAACAATTCACAATCATGATAAAATTAGACACAGAATCAAATACTGAAAAGTAGAAACTTTCCCTCTAATCTGTCTCATCCTGCACGGGTCGCCTTCCACATCCAATCGTCAATCAACATGCAATGAGCACTTACTCAAGGCTGTCTGGATATCCTTTTCTCCATTTTTCACTTCTGTCAAAAAACCCTTCAAAAATTTGAGACCTCTCTTCAGCCACAAATTTTTTTTTACCAAAAGATAATAATAAAAAATGAAAAGGCAACTTGGAGAAAATACCTGCAACAGATATTTTCAACAAAGAGCTCATAATCAGTCTATATAAAAAACGATTAGAAATGGATAAGAAATCTAGTGATTAACTTACAAAAAAAATAAGCCAATAATCGGAACAGTTCTCAGTTCTCATCTTTTCACTTAGCTATTCCAAGTGTTTGCTAGGAGCTCTTACAAGTACCTTAAGCCCAATATATCCAAAAGAAAGCTTACTTCCTTTTTTCACAAATGTTTTCACTTCAAATTTTAAGTCAGCTAATTATTATCATTTTTTACCGATTGTTGTTGTTGTTGTGAAGTGACATCGAGTCGCAGGCGACTCATAGCGACCCTATGAACGAAAGTCCTGGACATCTGTTATAGCTTTTGTCCTTTCTCCAGGTTCATAGGATTTACAGAGGCAAGCAAGGAGTGCTACTCCTGCTTCCAAGCTTGTTTTGAATCAGAGAGCTCCAGCAAACACTGTCTGCCATGGGTAACCATTCTCACATTTGACTCTTCAGTGTCACAGTGTTCGGCTTCACAGTGACCATGAGTTACCTCTGTACAGCAAGTGGACATACCAGGGCTACAAGACCTAGAAGAGTGTTTCTCAAACAATTAAAGGCAGGCCCAAGGGCCCGATAGTATTTTAAGCTAGTGCCTGGAGCATGCTCTGCACGCTGGATCCCACCCTTACCAGACTAAAAAAAAATACCCCAAAAAACAAAAAAAGCAAAAACTGGCTCCCTCTCCAATTTACAGGCAAGCTCAGACAATTTCAAGTACTTCCAACATTTCTGCAATTCACACCCTCCTTTCTATTCCTACATTCAAGCGTTTCTCTCTTCTTTGGCCAGTATCCCAACAACTGTTCTCCTTTTATCATTTTCCCCACTATGCAGACAGAACAATATATATTTTTTAAAAATATTAATCTTTCATTCCTTTTTGACCAAATATCCCATAATGGGCAGTGGTGTTAGTAGTTGTTGTTGTTATGTGCCGTTGAGTCCTTTGCGATTCATAGCGACCCTATGCACAATAGCCCTAAACCCTGCTCTATCCTGCGCCAACCGCACCGCCTCTGACACACCCATCCCGATTACCCCAGTCACTGAATCAATCCATCTCATAGAGGGTCTTCCCCTCCTGCGCTGTCCCTCCACCCTCCCAAGCATGATGTCCCTCTCTAAGGAACCGTCCCTCCTGGCAACATGTCCAAAGTATGTCAGACGAAGCCCCAGAATCCTTGCCTCCAAGGAGCAGCTTGGTTTAATCCTCTCCAAGATGAATCTGTTTGTTTTCCTGGCAGTCCATGGTACATTCAGTACCCTTCTCCAGCACCACAGCTCAAAAGCATCCACTCTTCTTCTGTCCTCCCTAGTCATTGTCCAACTCTCTGATGCATAACAAGCGACTGCAAATACCATGGCCTTTATCAGGCGCACCTTAGTCTCCAGAGAGACACTGTTGCTCCTGAGTACTTTAGAGAGGTCCCTAACAGGTGTTAGTAGTAGAGCTGGAATTAACTCATAGCTGACCCTCCAGCAGGTTTTCAGAGGCAGTAAATCAGGAGGGATTGCCCTTTGCTCCTGCAAAGTAGCTGGTGGATTTAAACCACATGCTTTTAGGTTACAATTAGCATCATTTAAGGAGACACTAGTGTTATCAGATCAAAACTGGCCCCTTTTGACCTACAGTTAACTTCTTTTTTAATCTTTAACACCTGCTTGTCCCTAACTTGAAATTTTGGTTGTACTAAGTTTAGAGCTTATATTGCTTTAAAATACAATTCTGTTTCTTCTGTCTGAATTGCTCTTCCTGCTTCTTCACTGACTCAATCACTTTCCAACGTTAAGGTCGGGTAACATCTTTAAGGAAACCGTTTTTATAAGTCTCTGTGATCGCATCAATTTGTGCCTTTGTATTAGCACTGAGAATGAAATTGCTTTTTGCTTTCTTGGCAATAGGAATATCCTTGAATTCCAGAGCTTGGCTAAGATTCTGGTCTATTGTAGACACTCTTGTTCAGTTACTTGTTTAACTGTACTGACTCAGCCATTCCAATTCTTTGTCCTGTCACATGGAGTATGCTGGGATCACTTATCAGTCCCGTATAGGTCAAAGGGTAATGGAGACATGATGGGCTAGGAGACTCGGGTCATTTTCTTTTTCTCCTCATGGGAAGAGATTTTTTTCACTCTGAGAAGTTGAGTAGAAAAAAGGCTGGGGAGACAGTATTCTGGTAGCACTGCTCACTTGCCCTGGCCCCACGTTATCTGGGAACCAAAAGCTGCTTCCTCTTCTAGCTTCTACTAAGACAGTGTGACTTCCGGCTACTTTCCATCCGTTAGAGCTCCCAAGTGCAGCACTCCTGGAAAGGATGTGCCATCCGGGAACTCGCCTCCGGAAAAAATAAGGCAGCAAGGAGACGTCAGGGGTTATGGAAGGCTCGGCTGCCTGGAGGAGCCATAAGGAGTTCCATGTAGCTTGAATTATATTACTCGACATACAAAAGCCCCCAAGCGCTCCAGCTGTCCGAGGGGTAGCACACTTCTTTATTTTATTTTTTTTTTTGGTAGCACACTTCTTAGCTACTAGCCTGGGAAGACACGGTAGGAAGCGTGGAAGGGAACAGCAGCGGGAACGCCGAAGCCGAGGCCTCTCCGTCACCATGACGACGAGGGCGGGGATTGGGACGTGCTTTGGTCACGCGACCCGGGGGCGGGGCTGGCGGTCTCAAGTCCTCCAAGGTCCCAGCCTCCCCAGCGCCTGCTTTTCGCCGGCCCTCCCCCTAGCCCGGCGCAGCGTGGCTGCTCGTTGGCTGCCGAGGACGGAAGCTCGTTGGTGTTTCTCCAGAAGTTTCCTCGTTGGGCGGCGGCGGAGCTGGTGTCTTCGGTTATCTTAGCAATAGTGACCACTAGAGATGGCGGCCGCTGCAGCTGGACCCGCGACACCCCAGAGGTGCATTTTACTGTTTTTCTCTCCCCCCCCTCATTTCCCTCTTTACTCTTTTTCTTGGTTAGTTTCTTTGCTGAAGGCGCTGTTTTTGTTTTTTTTTTCCCTGGCAGATTTTTCCGAAGCCTCTCAGATGCTCTGATAGACGAGAACCCCCAGGCGGCGTTAGAGGTGAGAGACACTCAGCTTTCACTTTCCTTTGGGGAACCAGGCTGCTTTGGGTTCTGGCCAGCCTCGCCTCCTCCCAGCACTGTCTCCTTGGGACCAGGGCTGCTGCTGTTACTGTGTCTACACTTTCTCCACTATTGAGAGCCTCAGTTTCTCTTTCCTCTCCCTTCTCCTTGGTCTTTGCAGTTTCTGAGAAAGCATACTTCTCTAGTTTTATTTTTGGGTAACTATAATATTTTTGTGAAAATTAAGATTGGAAGACAAGAGTGAACACTGGACTTGATCTTTGTTAGTGAGGTTTTTCATTTGACAGTCACTGTCTCATTCTTGTTTGCACCAGACAAAGGTTAAGGACCTTTATGGGCTCATTCTACTGGGACAAAACCCCTGAAACCTTGGAGACGTCTTATGCTTTAATCTGTTGCTCTTTAAAAGACTATAAAGTTACTTTTTCACAGCTTTTGGAAGCAAAAAGTCCAAATTCCGGGCACAGGCTAGAGGAGATGGCACTCTTTCAATATTGAGGAAGGACCCTTGCATTAGTTACTGGATTCATTGCTAAGTAGTGGGTTTCAATTGATAGTGACTCTGGAACTACTACATAGAGCTTCCAAGGCCGTGACCTTTGCAGAAGTAGACTGCCACATCTTTCTCCCATGCAGCCTTTTAAACCACTTGCTTTTAGTTATCAGCTGAGGCCTCAACAACAGCTGAGATTCTAATACTGTACTACCGGGCTCTCCTTAGTTCTATACTCAGAAATGGTTAGGTTTAGGATAAGTTCCCTGTCCAAGTCCTGAGCCATTTTACTTATATGTAGTATTAATGATATGATTTCAGAGCTTCAACACTTTTTAAAAATAAAGCTTAAAGAAGTTTTATTAAGGGGGCTCCCATTAAGGATTCCTTGGTGTGGAGAGACAGATGGTGGGTTGGTCAGGTTTGTATAGTAAAGGTCTTTAGGGAGGGAAGGGAGAGGCATTCCTTTGTGGTTTAGCCAGGTGGGCTTGCCTGTCCACTGCCTTTGTTGACATGTTGATATTTTTTGAATTCTTCACTCTCCTCCTTTGACCTTGGTCTGGGCCTGACAGCCGCTTTAGTGAGAAAAAGACATATTTTTAGCTACTTCCTGGTGAACAGGGCCGAAGATCTGGGGCTCAGAGGCTGGATTGGGTTGGCCCAGTACCAGTAGCCAGGGGAGAATATAAGTTGGTCATTGCTTTACGAATTCTTACATCAGGATAAAAGAAATGACCAACTTCAACACTCTTTTGCATCACTCAAGGTTTTATTTTGGTTCTTGGTGAACTTACTTTAATTTTCTTTAGCTTCACTTTGAATTTGCACATCAGTGATTAATTGATGGCTTATTCCACAAACAGCCCTTGGTTTGTTTTGGTCTTTTTTCTCCCATTCCTCTTGTTGTGTACCATTGAGTCAGATCCAACTGGCACAGAAGGAGATTGCCCCTCCTTCTCCAGCAGAGCATCTGGTGGATTCAACTACTGGCCTTCGGAGTTGCAGCACGGCTAGGCTACCAAGAGTCCTCTCCTTGGCTTGTTTTGATTGGTAATAACTAAGCTTCTTCACCATGTCTTTCCAAAGGTAGTCTTAACTGGGATGTAGCTCATCAGATGAGATCCCTGGGTATACTCCTTTATGGTTGTTCTTATTTTAAAGTATTTGCAAAGAATAAATTAATTAATTGTACAAAATTCTGTATTGGATCTCAAGTCTTTTTTTTTATTACTAAGGCCCCCTGCCCCTGCCAAAGCTTTGTTTCCTAACTACCATTCTTTCAATGGTAATTTGAAATTCCTCATTTTTTTTTTAATCAGGAGTCTTCCATGGGTTCTTTGATAAAAATGTTCAATAGCAGTAATCAGACATGATTTCGTTATGCTTCCATGGTAAGGTAAAGGAGGCCATTATTGATGAAGGCAGTTAGCCCCACATTCTATTTATACTCTCCAGTTTGAGTTTTAATATAAGGATGAGCAATTTCCTGTGTGAATAACTACCCCTGAAAACCCTCTAGAGGGTCAGCTATGGGTTGGTTCTGGCTTGACAATATACAACAACATAGTACACAAATCTTAATAGAAGTTGGCAAATTTTTATGTATGTATAACCAACACCAAGATAAAGAAATAGACACTTAACAAAAAGTAGACACTTCTGTCCACAGTGGTTACTTATGGTGGACAGTTTTTGGTGGAGCTTCAAGATTAAAACAGGTTTGGAGTCAGGAATGGCATCCACTTCCAAAATAGCTTGCCTCCGGAAACTCTATGAAGCCAAAGGTGGGTGATTTTAATCTGCTTCCCTGAGGCCTGGTTTTGTTTTGGTCATTCTAAGTGGCAGAGCACTGGTCTTTCAATTGGCTGTATTGAGGTAACTTGTGGTTGCTCTGATGCTGAACACTGGGACACTGAGATGTCAAATGCAATAATGGTTACCCATGGTGGACAGTGTTTGGTGGAGCTTCCGGATTAAAACAAGTTTGGGAGCAGGAGTGGCATCCATTTCCGAAATGGCTTTCCTCTGGAAACTGTGAACTTGGAGAAATGATGACAGCTATACAAGTGTTCAGGCCTTTTGTTCGTAGGGTTGCTGTGAGTCAGTCTGTAATTCCAAGACACTTAACAAGCAACAATCCACAAGGTTCTATTGTACTCCTTACCAACAAATAACTACTTTTACCTCATAGGAATCCCTATTCCAGCCTCCACTATAAGTTTTCTTGTTCTTGATTTTCATGTTTACAGAATCATTATGTATTGTTAATATGTTTCACTTTTAACAACATGTACTTAATTATTATTACATTATGTTGTTGTTAATATATGGTGGCTGGGAACCATTTTATAACTCACCCAGCAGGTTTCAGAGGCTGTAAATGGTAAGGGAGGAAATAGCCATTCTTTGAAGCACCTGGTGGATTTGAACCGTGATTTTGGGTTCTCAGCACAACTCCTTATCATGAAGCCATCAGAACTCCCTTAATACTAATATTTAACAGTATCGGGGTTTTTTTTTCTTTCATTGTTGTGTAGGATAGGTCTCCTGCAGTGCTTAAATGATTTAGGAAGAGAGAAGAAATGTTGATAATCTTGTTCATCCTTGACTGGAGATTTTTTCCAGTGGCTGTTGGATGCAGCAAATGGTTAAGGACTTCATTGTTGTGTCCCGTTTAACTGGAACTGACTCATAACTGGTCCTCCAGCGGGTTTTCAAGGCTGTAAATCACATGGTAGGAGACTGCCCGTTTTTATTAAGTGGAGCAGCTGGTAGACTCGAACCACCTTTCTTTGGGTTGACAGTGCAGCTTCTTACCACTAGGCCCCTAGAGTACTAACTAAAATCTTGATGGTTCCAACCTACCTGATGATCTGCTTTTAAAGGGTCAGTGCTTTCAAAGTTTTATACAGTACTGCTCTACAACACATGGTGTCACCATAAATTGGGATTGAATTGATTTGTGGAAAGAAGTGGAAAGTGGAGTTAAATTGAGGAACTAATGGACCTCAGACATGTAGTCAATCTGAACAGTTTGATTTGACCTTAAACCGAGTTACTTTGTTGAGTAGCAGCATTTTAAAAGAAATTATTTTATTTTATTTTATTATTTTTGTGAGTGTGTACCGTCAAATCAGATCTGACTGGTACAGGAGGAGATTGCCCCTCCTTCCCCGGCAGAGCATCTGGTGGATTCTAACCGTGCACCTTTGGGATTGTAGTTGCAGCTTCTTGCCACTAGGCCACCAGAGCTCCCCTTAAAAGAAATTTTGAAAAATACAAATCTTTACGCATTAAAAGAAGCTTTCTGACATTACTTTGAGTTAGGAAAGTATATTCTTGGACAGATAAGTAATATATGTTGGTTTACCTGAAAAGCAAACCAGTTATTGAGTGATTTTGGCTCCTGACAAACCCATCTGTTTCAGAGAACTGTGTTCCTCAGGGTTTTTAGTGGCAGATACTTTAAAAGTAGATTGCTAGACCTTTCTCTTGAAGTGTCTTTAGGTTGATTTGGATTGCCAACCTTTTAATCAAGCACTTACCATTTACTCCTCCCAGGGACTACTGGCATTTGGTTTAGATCTGCTTTAAATAAAAGTCTTTTGCCACTATGATTATGATGAAAAGTGACACTGAAGTCTTGCACTTGCCTTTTGAGATACTTCCTTTGGCAACTGTTGCCACAGAAACAGTAGAACTCTGAAAACATGCTGTGCTGAAGTCAGATATAGTTAAAACCACAGATCATGTTTTAACTTAATGCTCTTCTGGCACTTTCTTACATTTTTATATTTCTTATTCAGAATAAAATAATAATTTTGTTTTATAACTTAGAGAACTTTATACCAGTAGTGCTTAATTTTTTATGTTCTGTTTATTTTATTGATAATATACACAGCAAAACATTGATTAAACAGTTTTTACATGTATAATTTAGTAACATTGATTTAATTTTTCATTAATATAAACTTTACTGTCCCTGTGGTTCCTGTCTAATCTTTGAAGTTGATGTTGTCAGTTTGATCTCATAGATAGATCTTAAAAGATCAGACAGTGCAAAAGAAGACTTTTTTTACTATTAAGGCTAAACTGTTATATCTAACATTTTTATTAGGAATGCATGAAGATGGCTTCAGTAGATGTTTTTGGTTTAAGACTTAAAGATTATCTCATGGTAATAGTTTTACGAGTTCATGCATCCTCCATGGCATATTTCCTCTTTTTTCCCTTGTATATCGTGGAGTCAGATCCAACTGGCATAGGAGGAAATTGCCCCTCCTTCTCCAGTGGAGCATCTAGTGGATTTGCCTTTGGGATTGCAGCATAGCATATTTTCTCTTTCGATCAATATTATTCTATGGGATCTTAGATCAACAAGTTTAGTAATGATAGCTTGGCACCATGTAGTTTTTGTCTCATGAGAAAGAGTTTTCCATGGAGGCAAACAGTTGTACTTCTACCTGTCCTTACAATTCTTTTTT